TAATTAAGCATAAAATTGTATATTTGGACATTAAATGCTAAAAATGCAAACGATGCCTATTTTTGTAATTTTTTATTTTTGTAAAACAAATTTAATTACTAACAATTGTAGAATTAAATCCTACATGCAAAATGCGACATATTTTTGTATTTTTTTATTAATTTAGTAAATAAACACGCACAGACAAATACCAATAATTATTCAAAATATCACAAAATATCACAAAATTGCACACCAAAGAAAAATCATTTTATTTTGCATTTTTTGGGAGTATTTCTCATATAGGGCAAAAATCACGTGCTTACAATCATGTCAAAGCAAAGCCAGAAACCTTGAATTTTCAACCACCAAAGTGATAAATACCAAAAAAAACTTCCACTTTCACCCAAAAACAATAAATTTTCATTTCATTTTCAAAATCCATGGCTGCCACAAAAAACATAACAACCACCCACCATTTTCGAGCAAAAGATCTCAGACTCCTTCTCACCCAAATCCACCACCATAGAAACAATATTTTCATATTCAAACAAAAAGAGAGAAGAAAAGAATGAGTATAAACCCCTTATAATTTGAATTGCTATACTCTAAGCTTGTAAATTTTTGCTCAATTTCAAGAACCCATTTGAGTTCCAAATCAACAGCATAAATCCCAACTAAATAATTTTAATAGTAAGGCGAGAGTATTTCAAATCTAAAATATCAGTTACACTTAAACAAAAAAAGAAGTAAAAAAAGATGCTTCAATGGAGAAAAATGGTGTGTGGCGGTGTTGATGAGGAAAATGAAGAAGGGACAAAGAGTTCTGAACAAATAAAGGTTTAGAAAAAAAAAGGATGAAAAAAGAAGAGAAGGGCTGGAGGTGGAGGTTGGCTGGCGAAAAAACAAAATAGAGATAGAGGGAGGGTGGGGTAGATGAGGGATTTGCTGACACATGGAATTAAATAAGTATTTAGACAGTATTTTAGCTGGTAGACGCGCTTCTATCTTGCTATTTTACACATGCTAGGTCTTGGTCAAAGAAGGTGTCTTAGACACAGTCTGCAAAGGTTGGGTGTGTAAAAGGTTGCCCGTGGAGAAAAGGTGTGTAACAGGAATTTGAGTGTAAGGTCAATGGGTAAACTAGGTATTTTGCCTTTCGGGAAAAGTAAATGACCCCAATTGGCATTATAAATGGTTTCTTCAACCACAGTTTTAGAACCTTTATGATAAAAAGATAAAATAAAAGATGAAGGAATTTTCCCCACGGATACTAAAACATGCAATCACACTATGGGGTCTAAGGTCAACGAAGTCTGCTCTACCAGAGAGCCATCCCAGTACAAGGGCAAACAACCATAACCCACGAATTTAACTCCAACAAGTTGTACTAGAGCAAGTACGTATAATTTAACCAAAGTATTCAAACACATTGGTTGTCAATATAACAAGAGGATTTCAGCACTGCAAACATGTTTACCACACACTAGAGCGTAAGCATTAGGACTCGGGCACTGAGGTCCCATCAGACCATGAACTGAATGTCACCGGGATGTTCTCTTGTTGCAATACATGAGCAGTGTTGGTTTTGTCAAGTGGCAATGCCGCTCAAGAGGCACTAGCCATGGATTCTATAAGGAGCTGGTAACCTTCTGGAACAGCTGTCTGTGTATGCACACATTCCGCCAACGCTGGAACATCTGCATTGATGTCCAAAAATTTGGCCAGCAGCAGTAGTAAATGGAAATCTGAGATTCGCTTCACAAAAGAAAGATTCTTTGTTCGATTGAAATGATCTTTTAATGCTCTCATGCTCACTGGAATATTCCTGTTTTCAATAGGAAAAGATGATGATAAAGGACCCTGCACAGTCACAAGAATTCACATGAGACGAGGGCATACAAGAGTAGATGTTCAAAGTAAATACTATCACTAGTACGATAGCAAAGGAGAACAGAAGACAACGGGAGAAGGGGGTCGAAGGAAACTCTAAGCATTTAAAAAGGAAATGAAAAGAAAATTGACAAAATAACAGGTATCTGAGTGGAACCTTTTTTTGTTTTTTGGTTTTTTGATAAGGTAAAGATTTTATTAAATAAGTACCAAGATGGTACACAAAAGTACATGAAAGAAGGTATCTGAGTGGAACTGTCAAAGACATCACTTTTTGCATCTCTTTCACCACCTCTCTGGAGACTCGATTTTCATCGGTCAAACAACTGTAGTAGAATTATGGCCAATTCTAGCTTCAGTCTCACTCTAATATATATCAAAACATAGAACTACCACGAAGTCCTGCACTTTGAAATCTGGTAAAGCTGCCAATAGTAATTGGGAATGATGTAGGCTTATAGATTAATCGACAAATTTGGATGTCACATACTAGAGTTCTCTCTCTTTTGGCTTCAAGACAGAAATCATAACACCACCTAGCACCACGTCTTCTTCCTACCTAATCAGAAAGTAACTTGATTTGATGCTTAATCTAAGAGCAGGGACAACTACCACATGATTCTAAACACATTTTACTACATTAGGAGCATAGTGTTGCCTTCACTAGCTATTGCATCTTATCATCAATCACCAACTATGTCAGATGATAAAGCAAAGTGATTATTTTCCTCACTATAGCCTAACAGCATCTGAGGATCATCCAGCAAATCAATTTCCGCCAAAACCAAATGACTGATGCAGCACTTAACAAGAGGTAATCTGAGCAAACAGAGGAAGGGATTTTGGAATATTTTGAATTACAGTTTGGAAAACATTTAAGATTTGCAAGTTTCATGTTGAAAACATACTAGCACACTTAAAAACTGAGTTTACTATGAGCATAATGTATTCTCTGTCCAAAACCTTATTGGAAGCCCCTTGCCAAGGTGTCCTAGGCAGGCACAGGAAAAAACCAAATTTGCGGTGCACTTCGCTAAACCAAAAACTTTAGGTCCGAAAGATATATCAAATTCAAAAGATTGGGAACACTGGATTTGATAACAATACCTTCATGAATGAAATCTTAATGCATCATTAATATGTTCTTGTTTTTTCGGAAAAAAAGAGACCTTTTTGTGATCAAATAAAGTAATTTTGCTAAGCACCTCTCACTTGAAAATACATCCAACCTGTCAGGACCAAAATCGGTACCAACAATAGCTTGCACTGCTATACTCCATCGCCCGCATTATGGGTAACATCAATTCCTCAACCATCTTATTTATCACGTGATTCACATCAAGTGAGAGGGGATACAACTAGTGGAGGAAAACTAAATGAAGAAAAAAAAGTAAAAAAACTCGCTAATGGAAAGATTCAAAGATATTGTTCCGTGCATTTTAATATTAATTAAAATTCAATTAATTCTGCCAAAAGCTGACATGGACGGAGAAAAAATTGCAGGCATTCTTAGTGTTGTTTTCTTTCCTTCTATTCATTTTTTGGGTAGGGTAAGGGACACATAAGAACATATTGGCATTTGTTTTTTTTCCTTCCATTTTTGGTGGAAAGAGAATTAACCAAACATATGAGTTGAATGTAACAATAATACTTTTGCAAAAGAGGAGATGGGCTGATGCTCAAGCCTGGTAATTTTCTAATGGAGTCAAAGCTGTAGCCTAAAAATTTATAGGTCAACACGCTCGAGCCTAAACATTCAACAGTCCAAAGACCTCAGGCTAGGTAAAGCCCTAATTTCAAACTTGAACCAATCCCTAGAAATGTTCTTTTGACATTAAAAAAATTATCATAGTTAAATGAGTTCATGTCTGCGAATATCATGCTTCATGTTACGCTCAAAAAGTGGAAAAAAGGAAAAAGAAAACAAAGCAAAGCTCTCCTACCAAACAAATGCAGCTAACAGAAAGATGACAAGCTGAAAGAGCAAATACGAGAATAATATATGATGAAACATGCTGCATCACCTACTGAAAGAAAACTAAATTGCCCAGAAATTCTTTAAAAGGTAGTAACTTTAGCCATTAGAGAGATACCTACTATTTTAAGATATTCGCAAGCTACACTACTCGGTAGCAGGTTCTACCATCCACACCCTCTTACAGACTCTAAATGTAGGGCGAAGGCATATGGCATCAGATCTCTATTTAGGGGTTTGACCAATGACCTATTGGCTATAAAACCATCTAAAGCATACAGTTGCTTGAAATAAACATGTATTTGACACATGTTATAGGAAGGTCTTGCCATCTTCAGCAATTCCAACCAATAAAAAAGGCATCTTTAACCCCATAATTAGAAGTGTCACCACTATCCCTTACCAATGTAGTAATTCTTTTACCCAATCTGTTTGTCACTACTGCCTTCTTTTTCCTTCTCGTAGTATAATACAAAGTTACTCATTTTATGCAATATAAGGGAAGGAAACAAACATGATTCTCATAATCAAATCCAAACAACTAAACAATTCACAGAGAATAACTCCATACAGAGAAAAAATATGCAATAAAACCAACGTACCTGATGATCAGCAATCTTGACAACGACCAAGAAAAAGTCGTTATCAACTTCTCTAGTGTCCTTTACTCCAACCACCACATCTTTCTTCATCTTAGAAAGCTTTGGATCAATCACCTCATCCTTATTAACCTCTGTCTCAAACCACCCTTCTTTAAACAACCTCACACACATATCACTCATCTGAAACGCCTCGAAATGTACATCCGCAGCGCCATCCTCATTCACCTCGAGCTTCACTATAGCCGTCACCCACTCCTTCAAATCACCCTCAGCATGTAACTCAGCCGCCTGCAAAACTTCCGCAGTCGACATTGTGTAATCTTTTTTATCCTGACTAATTGTCTGTGTAAATATAAACCCTACTTTCCTCATCCCTAATCCAATAGCTAACGCATCCACTACTTTCTCCTCATCAGGATCGCGTAAAAGTATCAAACTTTCCTCCGTCCCTTGCTGTGGCGGCTCGTAGATGAAATCAACCTCCACTTTCCCCTCAGGGGACACTGTGCCGTACATAAACCCGCCGCGTTTCACGGCAAACGCTAGGGTTTCGTTCACATAATGCTGAAACGCATTGGCTGCGTCGCGATCGAACGAAACCAGCTCACAGTGAGGGTTTTCTTGTCTTGTAACTCGCATTTGCTTTGCAATTAGGTCATCCATGGTCATTTTTTTACCGAACGAACCGGCGGGGTTGACAGCCGGACCGGCGACGGTCCGCTCGCCCTCGTACGCGAGGTACACTATCGAGCCGTGGGTTAAGTTGAGAGAGGAGATTGTTGTATTAGGGTTTGACATATCGGTGAACCTGGTCCAATCGTCAAGGGTTTTGGCGAGCAAGAGGTTCTGATTTGTAGATAGGGTTTGGGATTGAACCGGAACTCGAAGCTGGGACTCGATTTGAGCTTTGAGTTGGGAAATTGTGGCGTGTGGATTGTCAATGGTGACTCGTTCTAGCCCATCTCTGCTTCTGATTCTGATCATCATCTTTGCTGATTAAACACTTGTAATTTGATAATTTATGTATTTACAGCAATAAACTAAGAGATTTATGCTGATTTTAAGGGAATTGAGGTGTTAATATAGGTAAACACCATTGAAGGATAAAGGTGGAGTGCAGTGCAAGAGAAGTTTTTTCAGAATCTGTAAGGAAATTGGACCGACGAAGAAGAAAGGAAGTAGGAAGCAAAATTGTGACTTGTGTGAGATTTATTCTATTTTGGATTGGGCCTGGGCTTTGCGGATCAGTCCAAATTAGGTTTGGAGTTGGACATGTTGTGGGCTGCACTTTGTAGGTTACTCCTAAGAAAAAATGGCATAGTATAACTAACACATAAAGAGAATTGGCAATATTTTTGCCTTATATTAGGTTTGGCAAAGGTAACCCAAAAAAATTGGCATTATATAGCCAAATCCTAAATAACCCTAATTTCTTATATATTCTCTCTCCCCGTATTTTTTCTTCTCTCACCCCATATTTCTTCTTCTCTCACCCCATATTTCTTCTCTAGTTTTCTTCTTCAACCTCTTCTTTTTTCTTCTTCAATCTAGCAAAATTTTCTCTTCAATCTAGATTTGGAAGGACATGTGTTCTTTGATAATGTTTGTAAAGTTGTAATGGTTGAATACATTTTTTCTATTTATTCTCCCTCTCCCTCTCTCACCCCTTCATATTCCCATCTATACAAATAAGAGAACGCCCTAAAAGCGACCATGATGATGATGGCAACGGAAGTTAGCAATGACAGATTTCGATTTTCTTTGGTAGATTGCTATGATAATGATGACAACGTCAATTAGCAATCGTAGATTTCAATTTGGTTCGTGTTTCTTTGGGGATTCCAATTTTCTTCTTCTTCTATGTTCTTTTTTTTATAGTAAAAAATATAATATATGTATTTGAGGTGGTGTACATCTATGTATATCGTCATGTATACTCATGTGTATACCATATTGTATATTATGATATACACTATTAGTTTTAGCAATATAATGTTAGATTTGAATCAAATCTCCAATTGATTTTAAATGGGCGAAATTTATTCTGAATAAACTTAATTTAATTTCATTATTGATCAAAGAAGGAATAAATTAAAATTAATTAATATTAATTATGAGAGTAAATAAAATTGAAAAAATGGCATAGTATAACAACACATAGAGAGAATTGACAATATTTTAGCCTTATATTAGGTTTGGTGTATTCATAAAAAATTATATATTATACACTGATATATGCATGAAGGAAAGCAATTTTTTGATATACATTTTAATATAAACAAAGAAGGATAATAAATTTGTGATATATATTTTGCTATACACGTTTTATTATGTATTATACAATGTGATATACAAATAATATAATTAGTTTTGTGTTATACACTTGGATATAAAGATAATAATAAATTATAGACAACTACCAAAGGAAAATAAATTTTTGATATATACAAAGAAGAAAAATAAAGTTGTGATGTATATATTGGTATACATGTTATTTAACATGTTATAAAGTATGATATACAAAAAATAAAATTTATTTGTGTTATACACTATGATATACAAATTATATTTATAATTTTTAACATTTTTAATGCTTGTGAGAAATAATTTAAAAACATAGAAAAAATTTGTAGAGGTTTGGGAGAAAATCTTGAAAGATTTTTGAATTCTAACGAAAAAGAAATAAAAGCCTATTTTTAGGGTGATGGTTGGACCATTAGAAGAGAGAGAAGATCATTAAATTTTAAATTTAGGCTACATGTGCCAAATGCTAAAAGATAGGCCATTTTCTGCCAATTATTGGACTAAGTTGTTATGCAATGCCAAATCCCCTACTCCTAATTAGATTTGGAGTTGGACATGTTATGGGCTGGAGTTTATAGGTTACTCCTAAGAATTGGACATGTTTGCACTTTTATGTGTAAAAATAGCACGGTATAGTTAGTTTTCGGACTGGTCATTCAAAAATAGTCAGCGTTTACGAAGTCAATGGAAAATAGCCACTATTTTGCTGCAACAGAGACCAGTCCAACATAATATACTGGAGTTCGGTGCACCTGTGTATGAACTCCAGCATATTATGCTGGACCAGTATATTTTGCTGAGTCCAGTATAATATACTGGAGACCTGAGTACCAGTGCTCCAAACTCCAGTATATTATACTGGACAATTATACTTGCTGGAACTCTAGTATATTATGCTGGAGTTCTAGTCAGAGGCGGATCCAGGATTTGAGGCTTATGGGTTCCTACCATAATGTTAGATTAATATGCAATAATAACTAGGTTCACAGTTAGATATTTATAAATATTTAGTGAATTTTTTAATATAAATACAGGATCTATGCAAAAGTTACTGGGTTCCCGGGAACCCGTATTCTATACTCTAGGTCCGCCCATAGTTCTAGTGTACTTATCCTGGAACTCCAGTATAATATACTGGAGTTCAAGCATACTTATGCTGAAACTCCAGTATATTATACTAGCGTATTTTTCGGGTTTTGAATAGTGTTTTCGCTCAGATTTATCTTTACATGAAAAATGGCTAAATTTCGATTACTTTTGAAATTGGGCTATTTTTGAATTTCTCCCCTTTTATGTGGGTGACCAAATGTGTAACTTCCTCGATAATTTAGTGAAAATAGCACGGGTTAGCCATCAAAAAATAGCCAGCATTTGTAAAGTCATTAAAAATATCCACCATTTTGCTAAAACACGAAAAGTTCCAACATAATATGCGGAATTATGGAGCTCATGCGTATAAACTTTCAGTATATTATGTTGGAACTCCAGCACACGGAAAGTTCCGGCATAATATGCGTATGATGGAGCTCCTGCATATAAACTTCCCGCATATTATGTTAAAACCCTAGAACATTATGAAATTTCAGCACACTATGCTGGAAGCTCATATGTAAAAAAATTCGAACGCTAGCATATTATGCTGGAGTATTTTCGGATTTTCAAGGTATTTTTGTTCATATTTTATTCTTACATGAAAAGATGACTAAATTCAATTACTTTTGAAATTATTGCTATTTTTCAATTACCAGTTGTAAGTCTGGCTATTTTTTATTTTTTCCCAATAATTTATGGTTTGGTTGGGCGAGGGGGAGGGGGTGGGGGTGATGATATAAAAGAAGTAAATATTTTTACATCAGAATTAAGTTCATATCATACTTATCACCCTTGCAGAGTGATGAAATGCATGTTTTCGTGAAAACACCACATAGCAAGATTACTCGAGATGTTATTCAAAACTCCTAATTGGATTTGGAGTTTGATACCAAGAAACTCATTTTTTTGTATATATTTTTCAGGAGAGAGTCATTTTTGTTCTTTGGTTATCGAAATTGGAAAAATGACTTCCCCACTTTTGATGAACTTTCATGTCATACAATTTTTTACAGTTAGCACTTATACATTATTATTAATTTTGAATACAAAAAATATCATTAAAAAAATTCGCCGATCTGGTAGTAATATTACTTAGCTCTTCACTCACTAACAACAGACTAGAATACATTTAAAGAAAAAAAATATATTTTTTTAAAAATTAAACTTTAGAAGTAGTAAATACGCTGCATAGTGAGGAAGGAAAGGAATAGAGAATAAATTTATAAATTTATTGACCTATTGAACTTTGTTTCGTACTTTTCCTTTACATTATTTGCGAGCATAACAGGAAAGTTTTGATGAGACAAATTCAAAAAGAATAGAGACAGGAAAGGCAAATGAGATACTAAAAAAGAACACAAAAGTTGTAACGATCAAATACTTTATAGTCATTGGAAAGTTGCATAAGATTTTGAATTTGAATACTACAGTACTACTACTACTACAAATTTCTACAATTTGACTACCAAAACTGTGGGACCTAAAATGGGGCCCCTTCCAAAAACTTTGGATTTTACTCTCTTGTCCTCATCTGCCCCAGCCATTTCTCCTTATTTCTTGTTCATTGGTACTTTAGTAATACAAGATACTAATACTTATAACCGTTGTTACTCCTTTTTTCTTTACTTTTTTACTCTACACTTTTGAAGAGTTGGACCGTTGGATTTAAACTTTGCATCTAAATAGTATAATGTCGAGTAACAGAAAATACTAAATCGTATCTCCAATAATTCAAGCTATTTTTACTTCTTAAGGTTCAACGATTTGATATATTTTTCGTTGAACTATAAAGTGGTTAATGTGTTAGAAACGATGTTTATGCATCTTCTTTAACAACAAGATTTTCATCATTTCAACCTCTACCTGTCATTAATAATCTCAATTCATGTCTCCTATTTAGTAGTAATACTACGCGCTACAGCTAACAACTCTATTACAAGGTTTAAAGAAAAAAGAAGCTAGCACACTAACCGCTAGGCGCTAGCTTAGTGTAGTTTTTACTATGGAAAAAATAATAGATGATAAGAGTATATCATAGAGAATTAAACTTGTACACAATGGACTAGTTAAAATAGATCCATCCCCAGCATTTAATCCACCTGTAACATCATGCTAATTTACAATGCCTCAATTATCTATACTTCAATTCCACATTAGTTAGAGTTGATCATATGAATTATTTATATTCTAATGATCCATCATAGTTAGATATTTAGTGCTAGTTATTGTTAGCTTACTGCATATATTTTATCCTTCAATATACTTGAGATCAGCTATATTTATAAAATAAGTTTATATGAGCTTTCTAAGAAAGAATTCTGGCCATGCCTGACGCTAGAGGCGGATCTACAATGTAAAATATGGTTCACATGAACCCGTGATCTTCGGATTAAAGTATAGATATCAGATATGATATACATAATTTATATATATTTGATGGAACCCATGGTCAAAAGAGATGAAGTGATGTATTGGTTTTGGTCTCTCATTTCCAATAGACCTAAGGTCAGGGGATGGAATCCCCTACCAACTTTTTTGTTTAATTTTTTTTTAAAAAGTAACGGTGAATCCATCCTTCAAAAATTCTAGATCCGTCGCCTCTGGCGCCCATCAACATTTATAAACGAGATTGATAAATAAATAGAGGAGTCCAACTACTTAAAAACTTTATACACTACGTATTAAATTGTAAATTGGTCAACTACTACTTGAAAATATATATGTAGTAAAAGTATTAAATTGAAAGGTATGAAGTAGGCTCTGTGTAAATTTCTTTTTGGTTTTGAAATGCTGTAACATCACTACTATTACTATGCTAATATGGTTTAGAGATTTATTGCAAACATGTGTAAGGGGAAAAGGAAAGAAAAGGGACAGAGATCTCGAATCTTTATAGGAAAAGCTGCACATTGCAATTGGAATCCACCAACGGTCTGGAATGTATTCCATTTAGAATCTCTTTGTCTTTTAATTTTAATCTGCTCAACAAATTTTATTTCTTTTAAAATGTGACAAGTACAAATCTAATAAACAACTAAGACTTAATTAGTGAAATTAACACTCATATAGTAATAACAACAACGACGACGATCCAGTAAAATTTCATAAAATGGAGTCTGGGGAGGGTAGTGTGTACGCAGATCTTACCCCTACCCTGATGGGGCAGAGAGGCTGTTTCCGATAGACCCTCGGCTCAGGAAGACGGAAATAAAACAAGAAGAGACAATTCATTAGTAACGTCAGCATAAACCGTAGAAATAGTAACAGAAGCATAAAAACCAAAAAAATAGATGACATGCAATAACAATAACCAATAATTAAGGGTCGGGGTTAAGAAAAACAAAAAGGAAAATGTGGATTCAACATTAACCACAAGTCGTCTAAGATCAACCTTATCCAACCCCGCCTCACCCCCAGTATGAAGTAGGAAAAGCTCGACTACCCCTAGCCTCGGTAATAAAGGATGAGTAAATGTAATTAATCATAGACATACTTTGAATATCTTAGTCCACTTGTATTTAAAAATCATAAGCTAATACAATATCCTTATATAACAACAATCTCTATAACAACACTTAACTATAAAAATTAAATTTTTCGGAACCAAATTTTATGTTCTGTTATAATATACATATTTTCTATAACAATAATTTGTTATAATATTCAAAAATATTCGGAACAAACGAGACTGTTTTTGAGAGGTTAATTAAGTGTAATTTAAAGCAAATATAGAGGATAATTATTTAAGGTCAACATCTAAATATCATAGCATATTACTAAAAACCAAGTTTATTTATGGTTAAGACTTGCACTGATTGGTGAACAACCTACCTGAAAAAGCAGAAAGTGTACAGAAAACGTTACCATTATTGAAATTCCTTAGTAAATTAAGGGCTTTCTTGTCATTTCATATGAGTCCGACAAAAATTTGAAAAACGAGTGGCCGTTTGAACCCCATAAAACTTCGAACTTCAAAAACCAGCTCTCTTCAATGCTACCCAATTAAAAACAACTCTTATCTCTTCAAACCCAGTTCACAAACAACAAGTATATTTAGAGAGAGAAACAAAACACATATAGAGAGAGAAAGAAAATGACGGGGTTGGTGATGGTGACAAGAGGGGGTGGGTGTGGAAATGTGAAGAGCAGTTCAAAGGAAAGTGCTAATACTGAAATGCAAAATCAACAGCAGTTGTCTTTAGTTGATTTTATCTTAGCTGCTTTAAGAAAATCAATGGTGTCTTGTCGTGTAGAACGACAAGAAGAAGCGATATGTAATGCTGTTCATCAAATGGAAATAGGATGGCCCACAAATGTGCAACATTTGACCCATGTCACTTTCGATCGGTTTCATGGGTTTTTGGGTCTTCCTGTTGAGTTTGAAGTTGAAATTCCATGTAGAGTTCCCAGTGCCAGGTTTGTTCCAAAATCTCAGCTTTTTTTTTCTTCTTGTTTTGTGTTTATATATTTGAAGTTCTTGTTCCGGGTCAAAATCAATTTCTCAGAAAAAATGCTGGTTCTTGTCTCTTTTGTTGTTTAGATCTGTTTACTGATGCTTATGACTGAGATAAAGCTGAGACTTTTTGGAGGTTTATCTTGTCTAAAAACAGATTTATCAACTTTTTCTTGTTGAAAAGTGTCTTTTTTTCCCAGCTGGGAAATGAAACTTTTTAAATTTGTGGTGTTAAATATAACATAAATATTTGTGTGATATTTAGACTTTTAAAATTTATGGTCTTAAATATGTCAATTACATTTAAGTGAGTACAAAAGCTGCCAATTAAGGTAAAATGGGGCGGTTTAAGTTAAATTATTTCTAAGAGAAAGTATGAGTTTTATGACAGTATAATTGTACACATTCTGAATACATTGTTCGGTCTGGGAGTTTTTGAGTGTTTCTTTAAAAGGGCAGCCCGGTGCACAAAACTCTGGCTATGCGCGGAGCCGGGAAAGAGCCGGATCACAAGGGTCTATTGTACGCAACCTTACCCTGCATGCAAGAGGTTATTTACACGGCTTGAACCTGTACCCGTAATCTCTTGGTCACATGACAACAACTTTACCAGTTACGCCAAGGCTCCGTTCGAGTGTTTTCCTGTAAATGCTGAGAAATAATGAAGTCTTTGTACATATAATTATGAAATCTACTGTGTATTAAATAGAAGTCAAAGCTAATTGAGGAAGAAGATTAGCAATAATACTTTTTCAATCCCTCTCACAAGTCAATACTTCAATAATTGCAAGTATCTACTTTAAAGATCTTTCCAACTTCCAGGAGGACTGGAGCTAGGTCATTTTCTGCTATGCTATTTAGTGATGAGCCTATTTGAGGCCCCCCTTCCTTTTGGGGACTGAGTTTTATGTCATTTCTGGCCAACCAAAATGAAAGTTTATAGATTCTTGGTTTTATTATTCAATGATAACATGAGCATCCTTACACCGCCATTAAAGTGAGGTTATGACCTACCCATTAGTTGGTTGGGACCTAGAGGGACTAATAAATGAAATGTTTGCAAATACAACTAACTCTTGTATGCTGTGAATTAGAAGTGCTTTTTACAGACTTTAGGATGTCAAGAAGGAAATTTTCATCCACAATCTTACAACTCAAGTAGTACATTCGGATAAAAAAAGGTGGTAGATCTATGACTGTAGGATCAAGGTTACTTCCAGACTCCAGCTTAATAGTAGCAACTTTCGATATGAACTAGGCATAGGTTCATGGACCTGGACTGTGTTAGGCATTTTGTATATGGCATTACAATGGTATTTGGTATATGGCATTACAAAGGTACTAAGTAATGTCCAACGATGATATAACGAGTTAATCTAGGTATAATTTATTTCCACCTACTTAATCATACTGATTACCCAAAGTTGTCAAGTTGCTAACCTTACCACTTGAAAATTGCAGAAAATAGCTTCAGGAACCATAATGGTAACGATAAAATTAAATTTTGAGAAAACTCGTGAGCAGAATTAAGATATTCAAATGCTATGCATAGTAAAGACTAAGCAAGAATGAAGAGCGGCAGGTGGACCTTCACTTGTGTTTCTTTAGCAAAGTACTGAAAATAAAGGGAGGGAATAACACAATTATATCATAAAAAGGTTGTTCATGATTAATGGAGAACAGGAACCTATTCATAAAGTTGGAAGTTAATAGCCTGTTCATCGAAATCCTAGAACTCTTTCAATTGATTCTGATTCCACTATCCAGATCTTTAAACTCTTTTCTCTGTCGGTGATTCTCTTGTATCATGCAGTTCCTGTTTGTGGGATTTCTCGTGCTGGTGATTATACTTTGTTAGGAAGTTAACAGTTCGCTCTCAAAACTCTGTATTGGACTTCATTTAGGCTTTTCTAACCGCATTATTGTTCAGGGAAAATAGCTGAAGTACTATGCTTATAAAGCTCCATGCCAAGCTATTTAGTCTATCCACTGAACTTTTATCCATTTATTTTGCAGCGTCAGCGTGTTTGGTGTATCTGCAGAGTCGATGCAGTGTTCTTATGATACAAGGGGAAATAGTGTCCCAACTATTCTCTTGTTAATGCAAGAACGTTTATACTCACACAATGGTCTTAAGGTAAGACAAATTTTATCTCATTTCTGACATATAAAAGTTTTCTAATGCATATTGTCATGTTGACAATTTTCTGACTTGAGCATTTGTGGATGAATCTTTAGGCTGAAGGAATTTTTCGAATTAACCCAGAGAATAGCAAGGAGGAGCATGTAAGGGATCAACTAAATAGAGGCATTGTGCCTGACGACATTGATGTTCATTGTTTGGCTGGTCTCATCAAAGCCTGGTTCCGAGAACTGCCATCAGGTGTGCTCGATGGGCTTTCACCGGAACAGGTTTTGCAATGCAACACGGAGGAGGAATTCGTTGAGCTTGTGAAACAGCTTAAACCAACTGAGACTGCTTTGCTCAACTGGGCAATTGATCTTATGGCTGATGTTGTTGAACAAGAGGAATCCAACAAAATGAATGCTAGAAATATTGCAATGGTTTTTGCCCCAAACATGACCCAGGTAAATGAATTTTATACACTATAGCATTTGGTTGTACAAAATATAACATTTCTCATTTTTCTAAGGAGTTGAAGCATTTCATTTTTTATTTCTGGGATCAGATGTCTGATCCATTGACAGCTCTCATGCACGCCGTTCAAGTGATGAACTTGCTGAAGACCCTGATCATGAAAACACTACGAGAGCGCGGAGAGACAGAAGATGGAGACTACTCACCCATGTCATCTCGTTCTTCTGGTAGACAACAAACTGATGAGGAATTTGACTCCCAACAAGAAGAGATGGACACTAGCTGCGAATCAACAGGACCAGCATCAGATGACGATGATGAGCAACGTCGCTACAGCTACAGCAGTGAAGAAAGAGATGAAGTTGAGTCATTGAGTGAGATAGAAGAAAGCTTCCTACGGCAGTTGGACGAGAATGAGCACGCAAAAAATGACTTCCGGAAACAGCTAGAAGGAATTTTATGCAGAGAAAATGTTATTTCCTTGACTGCTGCATCTACTGATAATGGAGATTCTTCTATTTTATTTTCGGACAGTAAAATCGAGACTTCTGGCTTGAGCACTAGCGATGGTGAAGACTCAAAAGACACTTCTGTTACTATGGTGCATAAAGCGGAGTCAAAGAGATCATCAACTGGAGCATGTGGAAGCATGGAGGATATCAATATGGTAGACGTAAACATGGCAGAATCTGCTGTTCCTGTGCAGTAGGTTATTTTCAATGAATTTGTGTGATTGAATCTTGCATTTTTAGGACTAGTCCTGGATTTCTCTGTTGTTAGTATTGATCTGATGGTTGTTTATGTAAAGTGTTGTAGGCTTGGGCATAGATACATAACGGTTTGCTTGTGATTGACTTGTGAATCACTGTTCAGCATTGGCTGAACTTGTTTTTGATTCCTTTGTTTTGCTAGCAAAGGATCTCTAACATTGAACAACATTGTGCATTATTTCTTGTAATTCTTTTTTAGGAAACTGTTGATGTGACAATGAGTACTTTATTTAAATCAAGTAATAGTGCCTTGAATTAAGAGGAAAAGTGGTTCACTAATTGCCAACCAAAATAGATAGGTGGCTATCAGATGGAAAAGAATCCAAGAAATGGAAATAACTAAACTTTGTCATCTTCTATACATACAAGTTTCTGTTGTAACAAACCACTGAATGTAATACTACAATGGAAAATGTCTGACGGTTCTTAAGAAAACGTGAGAGATTTACCAACTAATTACCACAAGAAGGGGCAGCCCGGTGCACTAAGCTCCCACTATGTACGGGGTCCGAGGAAGAGCCAGATCATAAAGGTCTATTGTACGCAGCCTTACCCTATATTTCTGCAAGAGCCTATTTACACGGCTCGAACCCGTGACCTTCTGGTCATATGACAACAACTTTACCAGCTACGGCAGGGCTTCCCTTATGAGATTTAAGCTAAGAAGCTAAACAAGTTTCCCAGAAGAGCCTATCCTCGTCTTTTTTATTCTTCGCCTTCTCTGTAACAAAATCGTTAGCTTTGAACTTCTTACAACGGCCTCCCATATATCCATTCCAACGTTGTTCAACTACATCCTCATCATCTTCCTCACTGTTAAAATCAACTTGAATGCAACAACTCAAACAAGTTGCATCACCATCATCACCACCATCATCATCATCATCATTAGCAGCAGCATCCAAATCCATTTGCAAGTCGTCATCGTAAAACCGAACATTTTGATCGTACGAGGAACCACATTCGGAGCTGCATGACTGTGCATCATCATCGACAAGACGAATATAATGATGAGAATTTAATAGAGTATTAGTAGTACTGCAAATGTTGGCATCAAACTCTGAATCACCAATATCTTCGAAGAGCATAAAGGAAGACAAATCAACAAGAATGTTACTACTAATTTCCTCGTCCATTATTATTAGCTATAGTTGATGGAAAAGAAAAAAGAAAAGAGAAGATTTTATGGGAAGACTAGGAAGATAGACAGGCTGGTAGGCAATATTCTAAGATATAAAAATGATCGATAGCTGATAATAAAGACGTGTTGGTGCCAAACTTCTAGAAGTCTATCATTTTAATTCGGTGTATTATCACTTTTTAGCTGACGACAGGAATTATTTATATTTGATAGTCGAAAAAGTATATAAAATTTATACAAAATATATATATATAATATTCAAATTTTATACATTTTTTCGACTATTATTTTACCGCGATTATATAATGTCATTTTTCCTTTTAATTCATGTTTATGTCACATGGACTTGGTAAGAACAAATCCGGATGTATAAGGCTTTGGTGTTAATACATACAGTTTCTTGTTAATTATTAATGTGTTGAATCAATTGTACTCGTGTTACACCAGCCAAACGAAAAAGTCATAGAATAATGTAGACTTTGTAGCACAATATTAGGGGCACAAATTCTTCTAGAAAACTGTCTCACGCCTTGCCCAACACCTTTTCCTGAAGGAACGTGTCAAACGTTGAATACTAATAATACGACTACTAGTGGGCATTTGGACACAAGAATTGTAAAATTCTAAAAATAAAAAAAAGTGTTTCTAAAGTAAAAGTGATATTTGAAAATTAGAGTTGAGTTTGGACATAAATATAATTTTGGGTTGTTTTTGAATTTTTTGTGAATAATCTGAGTGAAAATTTTGAAAAACAGGTTTTTGGAATTTTTTATATTTTCGAAAAATTCCAAAATGTATCCTCAAGTAAAAATTGGAAATATAGTCAAACACTGATTTCGAAAAAAGTAAAAATATTCTTGTGTCAAAACGGGCTTTTAGTCTATTCAAATAGTAGTACGTAATTTTGGGTTGATGACTCCGAATAAGGTCTCTGCCAAATCAAGATTATAAGTAAGTAAATTGGAGTAGACATGTATCCACTAAAGTCAAATCCAGTCATTTGCCATATGGAAAGAGAATTTGCCTGACGTCCCTTCTATTCTACGTCTCTGAATAGTCTAAATAAATGAAATGATTACCGAAAATTTACCTATTTAGTTGTGGAGAGTGGGGACTTAAAAAATATTACAAACTTTTTTGAACAAATCAATCAAAAAATAAATAAATGGGTAAATTTTAATTAAGAATAACTAACTCTAAATCCGAGATGAATAATACGAATTAGCCGAGTATAAATATTGATGCCGATTATGACCAGATTTAATAGCATAAAGAAAAATGCATTAAGCAACATTAAGTGACAATAAAATGTAAATAAAGGAAAAGATTCACCTGATCTTGAGTGAGACAGATCTTCTTTCATTTGATAAAGATGAATGATAGACAAATACAAGAACCTTAAGACCCTTTTTGGATCTGATGAAGATATGATATCACATCTCTTTGGAGAGGTGTGTTTACATATTTTCTAGAAAGAGGGAGAGGGAGAGAAAGCCCCCTTTTTGGGAAGTCCTCTCTTCATATTAGGGGTATTCCTAGAAAAATACTAAAAGAAAAGGTACAATTAGAGAGAATATTCAGTAGAATATTCCTTTTGAGGATTCCAAAGCACACTAGTTGTTTTATCACTGCCCGACCTCGGCCTGTCCGACCTCGGCCTTATGTCTCCGCGTGTCGAATTTCTCTGATCTAATTTTGACCCATACAGTTAGTCCCTCCGCTTATCGAGGTCGTCTCTTGGTCGAGCTCGGTGAGCGGACTTCATTAATCGTAGTTCGAGAAATTCGGATGGGGAGGTCGACTAGTGTGGATCGCGGCTAAGGGTACCGATCTTTAGGTCAAAGTGGTATCCCCGCGGGTTAAACTTTAGCAAAGTTCGATCAGGGCCAATGACTTGAGTGATGAGTCGATCGAGAAGACGGTAGAGTTGGAGAAGGCCGTCAAGGCCACGATAGCGGCTTTGGCAAGGATGGCGGCATCGGAGGAGGTCACCTACTGCGAATTCGGACGAGGACAAAGTTGATTTGGACGAGGACTAACTCTTCTTTTTTGGCGAAGGTCCTTGGCCGTCGGGGTATTTTTTCGAGCTGGTCGAAATGTTAGCCCGTCGTGGTTCGAACGAGGTCAAACTCTTCTTTTTGGCGATGGCCCTTGGCCGTAGGGTTGTTATTTCGAGCTGGTCAAAATGTTAACTCATCGTGATAACAAAGTCGAACTCTTCTTTTTTGGCGATGGCCCTTGGTCGTAGGGATGTTATTTCGAGCTGGTCGAAATGTTAACCCATAAATCCGGATTAGTTGTGGATGTGTTAGATGACTATTAATGTGATCTTTTAGACATGTGAAGCCCTATCAAGATGAGTATGAGTAATGTAATACTCCGTAAATATGAATCAGCTATGTACGGACAAGGACTATTTATGTAATACCCCGTACTTTGAATCGGTTGTGGATGCATTAAACGAGTATTAGCGTGATGGTAATTGAGTGGTTATGTTAATAAGTGTATAAGTTATGTTAGAGGTGAATTGGGGTCTAAGGAGAGGCCTAAGTCTAAGCCAAGTTAAAAAAAATTCAAAATGGACTAAAGCTGTGAATGAATACGCACATGACCTCACTTTGAACGATCATATCTCCGGTTCTATAACACGTTATGTGATGCATAACCTATCAAAATAAAGCCCTTTGAGTCTAGTTTCCAACGCAACAAACCGTTTGTCATTTGGAGGTGTATACAGAAAGTTATGACCATTTTACTAGGTAGGTGTCACTAGCGCGAAGTCGCGCGTTTTTGTTGAGTATTCTGCCTCGCGCGCGAACAAGCGCATCTGGAAGGTTTTAAATACTTTAAAGGCCGGAAATAATAGAAATTGAGTCACTTCTCAAGCTTAGGGTTTCCTCTACACCCCAACTCGATCAAGACATCCAATTGCACACCTAAGGTGAGTTTTTAAGTGTGTTTTCATGGTGATTTCACTTCTCAATCACTAGTTACAACATGATTTTGATTGGGTTTATAGGATTTCTTCAAAATCTCAAGAACATCCCAAAAGTTGTCTTTCAAGATTTGGTCTACAAGAGGTAATCCTACACCCTTAGACTTACATATATGGTGTTATTATGGAATCATGAGTATAAATCAAGTATTACAACTTATGGTATGGTGATTGGAAGCCATAAATTTTCAATTTAAATAAATGATCATGGTAGGGATTTAAGGGTGATTATTTGATAGGATTTGTTGGTTGGGTGTGAATGGATGGTCATATACGTGATGTTGAAAGTTATAAATTGGTTAATCATGATGGTAGGATAAATTGTTGATGAATGGTGGTAATTAGATGAACTAATTATATGGTGATGAGATGTAGAGGTTTATGCCTACAAGGTGTTTGATAATATGCCTAAATGGCTTAAGTTATGGAATTTGTTACTAATAGTGGTTCCATTGGATATTGCTATTGTAGATTGAAGGTTCTTAGTGTTGTGGATCATTGTAGTATCACTCAGGGGCGACATTTAGGTATGTGAGGCTAACTCTCTATGTTTGGGAATGTTAATGATCCTCCCTACACTACGTTTCTTTTACGACGTATCAATTGCCTCAAAAATATAGTTAAGCCTA